GACAAGGGTGCATTGCAATGAGTGCCACACCCAGACCCCAATACCGACAAAGCCCAAATTTTACGTGGAACGAGTTGAGATTATAGGTGACCTAAATCCAAGAGATTGGTACGGGGGCCCTTACCGTCTAGGAGGAGAAGCGGTAACGGTAGCCGTCCGGCGGAGCCGCAGGAGCCGGCAGAGCCGCCGGAACGATCCGGACGGGACTAAAACCATGTGTACCGCCAGCGCTAACGCTGGTGGTACAATTAACTATGACCAAACCAACAATGCAATTCATAAATTTATTGGTTAAAAAAGCAATAAATGTGCCACCACATGTTAGTACCTTTTTCAAACAAAACTCAACTTTTTTCAGAATGGGAACTTAAACTTCATAAATAACATTTTCCGCAAGCTCTTACACTACACTTATATTTACGCTGTCTAAATGATGTTATGTTGCATTACCGCTTGTTGTTGTGTCTGCAAGTCTGTATAAACTGGTGAAGGGATGCTGACGTTCACTGGGGTTTCGTACATCCCTTTATTTCTACTGAATATCTATAAAAGCAGGAAAATGAGTGTTAATATTTTATCATTTTAAAACTGCAATCAAACAATGTCTGAATCAATTATGTACAATATAATTTGTAGACCATGACCAAATTTTACTCTAACACATTTCAGGCCTCGTAAACAATAAATGCCGTTTTCTGACACGAGCCTTAGGCCCCATTCAGAATAGGACCAACTAGTCCGATATATTTGGACCCACTACAAAGTTTGCCATCTAATCTGCTAATTGGCACTGAATAGATATCCCGTGGGGAAGTATTCAAGTGGGTCGGCCATATTTGACACTCAGACTAGTTAGTTCTCTATTCTGAATGAGGCCTCAGATTTTGGAGCACAAACATACAAATTAAGGTCATGAATTAACTACCCCAAGGCAGAACTACTTGCCACATGCTTAGCTTTTCAACGCACACAATTTCTCCAGCTCTTACTTGGGTCTCTGGCCTTATACATATACAGGGTATATGCTCTCTATGGCTTATTTCTATATGGCAGCAGTGCGTTCTCGACAATCTCCAGCTTGTACGGAACATACCGAATGGGTAGATAAATAGATAAGGTGTTTTATGTTATAAAACGCTGAGCTTGTGGTAAGTAATTCAAAGTTGGGGTAGTTAGTTTATGGCTGGAGTCACTAATTTGGGCATTTGCGCTCACAAACCTGAGGCTCATGTTAGAAAATGCCTAATCCATTTATAAGGCCTGTTTTTTTTTTTCAGTATTACATTCACCTCTCCATTCTGATATGTCTGAAGCTCATGGCCTCCACTCACATCTCCTGAACTGTTTCCTAGTGACACTACAATGAAAAACAGATGAGCTACACACATATGCAGCTTGAAATATTGGGGGGGGGGGGGGGGGGGGGGAAGGGGGGGGTAATAGGGAACAAGTACTGATTTGGAAGGAATAAAGTGTCTTGTTTAAGAGACCAACCAAAAATTTAAGATGCATTACAACATGCATATAACCTCCTTGCTGTTGTTAATCATTATACAGTTGCTTAAACAGTCAGAACAGTTAACACTTGGACTATAAAAAAGTCCATATGGCATACACATGAGCAAAACAATTCTTTAATAACTACTTGTGATATTTTTCTGCACTGACAGATACAAGAGCTTGTATTCTGCAGACTCAATCTGACAACTGGATATGAACACGGTAAACATCACTGGTATGCACAAACTGATGACGTATTATCTAGGCATCGTATTCCACTGGCAACAGAAACACTTTTTGTTTTAATGATTGACACCGGTTCTAGTCTGCAATCAGATAAAATGAGTTTACTTTGATTTTTTTCTGGATATTAAAACACTCTTACCATTTTCCTTAACTGTTTTCTGTTTCTTCTTGACACAGTTAGTGTAGGTGACACAAGCCGAGACAATAATCACAATGACCCCCAGGATGGCCCCTATTATCCCCCCTATGGCCTCTACAGGTAGACTCTGGGACCCCAGTGTGGCCCCAGTAGCTGGTGCTGAAATGATACCAAACAATTGATATTAAACATCATAACAGGTTAAATGTGAGCACTAATAAAAAAAAAAACATTTCTTTTTGAATTTTTGTAATACAAAAGGTGTCTTTGTGAAACCCCAAGGTGCTCCTTTATTAATTTTACCACTACAATCAGCACACACTTTCCACCTAAAAGCTATGAATCACATAAAAATTATTGTTATTGTTATTGTCAAGATACTACTACCCCCAAGTCTAGCTAGCTGTCAGAGGAAATCCCAGTAGCTCACATGTACATATAGTCTATGGGCCAATGTAGAACCCCCCCCCCCCCCAAAGTGATTTTCATTCAGTATGTTTTTCTGGTAGCTTAGGTCCTGAGCTTTTATTTTCTGCTTGTTTGCCATTAAACTGGTGATGGGTGTGTGTGCTACAGCCGTTGCCATGGTAACACACGGGTTAAAAATTGACATTTCTGAGACCAACAAAATTTTAAATATTTCAAATACATAAACTAAATAGAATTCATAATCATTCCAGACATGTAGTCCAAGAAGTGCACTATACAGTACTTAATGATGAACAAAATTTTCCAAGATGGCGGCCAATTTTTGCGGTTTTTTAAGAAATTTTGATAATTCTTAATTTTTTAATTCTTATTTACTACCCCCAAGTCTGTCACAGGAAATCCCAGTAGCTCACATGTACATAAGAAAAGTAAACAAAACAGATATAATCATTTAGTACCACTTTTAGCTGATAGGGTAATTCTCAAGACCTTGCTAGGTAGAGCATGCAACTGGTTCACAGTATTACTGGCTTGGCACTCATAGTATCCAGGTTTCTGAATGTGATCTAGATAAAGCACTGAGGGGTTATTGCGGTGTCCATTTAGTACTTCTCTGGTGTTGGATAACTCCTCCCGATAAAACCACTTGAAGCTTGGTTGAGGGTAACCATTGGCTGAGCAAATGAGAGTGATGGCTGAACCTTTGACAAACTCCACACTGCCCATTGCTGAGTCTATGATGGGGGGAGCACCTGTGGAGATGTAAGTGATCTTAGGGTTGCTGGCAGCAGCTGAAATATTGTAATGTAAAAAACCCTTGTATGCTGTATGGTACAATATTGTTGTCAATTACCACAAAGGATGCATAACCATTATAATATATTTTGTGAACATTACTGACACTTTGATTAAATGGGGTATTAGCAATACAGATGCAAACAGCAAAGCAATTAATTTTCCTTGAATTACCATACTGTAACTGCCTATTTTACCATAATTACAAAAATTAAGGGAATATACCAGACACAAAATGATTGACATAACAAAGATGAAATGATCTACTCTCAACAAGAAAAAAATGAAGCATTATTTCAATTTTGATTTGATAAAATCTTGGCCAAGAACAATACAAGGGCTAGGATTGGAAAAAGATCAAAGATTAGTTAGTAATTTTTTATATAAGAAAAAAAAACTGTTTACTCCAGGAAAATTCATTGTGGGGATTTGCATACATGAATCTGAAAATTTCCCTTAAGGTCAGTCATGCTCTTATCTTAAAAAAGTTCTTATCTTTTCTAATTCAGGTCTTAAACACAATAAACCCCCCCAGCTAGAATGGGAGCCCCGGCTGCCCATGGGAGCCCAGGCTGCCAGAGAGACTGCCAGGGAGACTGCCCTTTTGCAGTCTGGGGCTCCAGTGTGCAGTCTCGTTGAGCAGGCAGACTGCAAAGGGGGCTGCAATAACTTAAACATTTTTGCAGGAGACTGCAAAGGGGGCTGCAATAACTTAAACATTTTGCAGGAGACTGCAAAGGGGGCTGCAATAACTTAAACATTTTTGCAGGAGACTGCAAAGGGGGCTGCAATAACTTAAATATTTTGCAGGGGACTGCAAAGGAGGCTGCAATAACTTAGAAATTGTCACAGGGGACTGCAGATTAACTGAAATAACTGACATTTTCAACGTTGCCCAACGTATGCAATAAACAACCCAATAGTTATTTAAAAAGTGTTTCTATCCGCAATTGAGAAGCACATGTGCTAAACTTTTGACTACTAACTAAGTGAAGTTTTATTTTATTTTTTTAATTTTTTAGATTTATATTTTTTAAATAATGCTGTGAAAATATCCTGTATTATTGCTATTATTTTCATTGAAATGATTGAAGTCTTATGATAATATACAATTGCATAATATATAAATTTTAAACCTCACAGTTAGCATCAATTCAAGTTGGACTTGTGATTAAAATTAACTGGTAACTTTCAAAACCAAATTCATTTCAAGCCAGGGGCATGTTTATCTTAACTGTCAGTTTGATATAAACAGTTCACCTACAGCTTGCCCAATGAGGTCAAATAACTATACAGCACAGGCAGTAGTACATAACCGTTGAGCTAATTAATTCAAAAATCTAAGCCAGAAGCTAGGTCAGGAATGTTCTACGGAAGAGGCAAGAAATCTGAAAACATTGATTTCTGGATTGAAAAAGCTAGAAGACATTTTTAGGAAATGCATGTAGAAAGAAAAATGAAGAGAGACAGAGACAGGATAAGAAGTGAGCATGCAAGTCCTTTTGATTTTGTATTTTTCTACATGTATAGTTTACTGATGCACCAGGATCCATAGAGCCTTGGGAAGTGTTCAATTTTAGCCCAGCACTTTGAATTCTGTTTGTGGTTTTTAAAAGTACTTGAAATTGCTATTAGGCTAGAAAAAGGTTTGCATTTAACCATTTTGGTCCTTGTCAATTATAATATTATTTCAAACTTTGTAGTTTTTGACATGAATATAGACAATAATTCACAGATGAGGATAATACCTTTTAAAACATCGATCTTTGTACTTTTCATCATCATACAATGTGTTAAAAATACAAAGTTTAAATGAAATGAGCATTTTTTCCTTTGGTATGTACACTTTAAAAATTGTATTAGTGTATAACTTGCCCACATTAGTTAAAAAACCTTAAAAATTACTTGAAATATTGCTCTTATGTGTCTGTATCGATGTATGAATTCTGGCCAGTGAATTCTGTGACAGAGTTTTTGGAATGATTAAATAACGTACAGTAGAATTCACAGCCCTCTGCTAATATGGGCTTTGTAGAAAAATATATATATAAAATAGTAAACTGAACTAAATAGTATGGAGAGAAATAAACCAGTATGTTAGATATAAATGGATCAGATAACGTAAATTTTGTGATCAAGGGGAAATTTTGTATTTAGATTTGAACTTACACACATACTTGGGAGAAAGCTTATTTCTAAATTCCTTTTGATAAATGTAATTATTGTTTGAATATATGCATGTATCACTTTAAAAAAATAATAAATAAATAAATAAAAAGATTTTGCCAAATTTTATTTTGCTAAGCAAGCTGCTAAGGAGACTGCAGAGTAGACTGCGAGAGGGGCTGCCAAGCAGACTGCAAGGGGGACTGCCCTGGCAGTCCCCTGGCAGTGGTTCCAAAAATGCAAATTAAGACTGCCAAGGGGACTCCTTCCATACTTAACGATACCTGCAAAGGAGACTACTGTGGGAGCGGGGACTGCTAGGGAGACTGCAAAGCAGGCTCCATAGGGGGACTGTAAAGGAGACTGCAAGCAGACTGCAAAGGGGACTGCTTTTCTAGCTGGGCCTTTAATTAAAGTTGACATGAAGCATATCTACATGTAGTGTTGTTACATATTGTATCTTTTACTTACTCAGTGACACACTGGCCGACTTCTGTCCAATCGTACATGTAAACTGTGCACCGTCATCAGAGGCTGAGATATCTACTCTTAGCTCACTCTGTCCATTATATGTGCAACCATCGCTATTCAGGACAGGGTCACTTGACTGTGCCTCTGAGGTCCTATTTTGTTGCTGATCATTCAGAGTCCGGTACCATGTGATCCCCTTGGCTGGACGTCCAAGCTGACCAAAGCATATGAAACTTGTTGACCCCTGGTCATTTAATTGCTGTGTGGCCAAGACAGGGTTTTCACTGGGCTCCACTGGAATATACACACACATGTATTTGTACTATGTATTTAGCTCTTGGGTGTTCAATACAGGGGCTTCACTGGGCTCAACTACTGGAATATACATACTGTACTTGTATTGTTTATTGATATATAGAAATAAGTATGGATGTTACATGTAACTTCATTTGCTTATGAAGTGGAACAGTACTAATTCTGACACAAATTATGTACCAACTGAATGATCAATCTTTGGGAAGTCTTTATATATATATATATATATATATATATATATATATATATATATATATATATATATATATATAAAGGAAATCTTGATCTTTATAAATATATATATATACATTAATAAAAGAACATTTTAATCTTGTTTAATTTAGAAAATATCTGAACCAATCAAATAATAATAATTATGCTTTATGAGTCTCTCTATAGCCTTTTTTGGTCCCCAAATAGCTTAGCTGTGACTTTCTTGAATGTTTTGAAAATTTAATGTTTTGAAAAAATCCTTTGGTGTTTTATAAATATAGGACTAGAATGAGGAGAACATACAAGAAAAATATACATATTCATTTTAGGTTTCATAGTTTTTTTAAAAATAAACTCAAAACATATGTACCAAATCATTACAGACATTTATTATAATCAAAGTAATTAACTATTTATCAAGCTAACATTTTAATCTTTATAACATTTACCTCTGGGACATATATTACTGGTAATTACTTCCAAGTCTAGTGTAAATGTTACCTAAGTTTATTGTTTAAATACCAATTTTAATTGATTCTCAATGAATGAATGGAATGGAAAGAAACCATGATGACATGTTACCTTTTATCATCAGCTGTACTGTGCTGATCTCTTTTTGAGCTCCTCTCACACTCACTTCACACCTATACTGTCCCTCATCTCTTGGACATTGTGTCTGCTGGATATTTAGTGTGGTAGTTTTGGTACTTTCTGACAATGTCCCAGATAGTCTGGCCTTATCAGGGCTGTAGCTAAATTGTGCACCATCAGGATATAGTGTAAGTATTTGTTCAGTGCCCCTGAACCAGTTAACTTCAGCTAATGTTCCTGATGTTGCGTATGTGCACTGCAATGTTGTTGTTTCTCCAGGTATCCCAACAACTGTAGTTTGTGATACAATTTCAGTGACTACAAACATTAAAGGAATATATTATAAAATGTTGGAGTGATGTTGAGAATTTGACATCTAAAAATATTCAGCATCTTTTTAGTTCTCAAAGAGAGAGCTAGAGAGAGAGAGAGAGAGAGAGAGAGAGAGAGAGAGAGAGACTCAAGCAGATTCAAGTGCCAATATGTTGGTATATACAGCATACATTTTATTCCTTTGTTTCAAACCTTTAGATATGACTTACCTGCTGCCAGCTGAATTACAATGACCAATAACCATTTAATATTGAATTTAGGCCGACTTGATGTTGACCAAGAAACTGCCATTTCTACACTGGAGTGTTGTCTACCAATAAACAAATAAAGCTAGTTAATGTTTAATCAGTGTCCTTGTAACTCTCAATCTAATAAACAAATGAAGTTTAAAACATTTGATCATTAAATTGTCCCAATATACCGTAATGTCTTAATTAAACTATATATATATATAGCTACTAGCACATGTACAGATTGTAGATCCTATAATTTTCTCTAGTTCCAATATTAGTGGTAGATTCTGTTAGTCATTTACTCTATTGTAGCTATTGTTGGTTTAAGGAAATACACAGTGACCCAATGACAATCAACCACTTAATTTCAAGCTTTGCCTTGAAAAATAATTAGACAAATCACATATACTCATTATACTTATTTTATTTACATATTTTGCATACTTTACAAAATTATATCATTGTTACATTCAGTATACTGTATATCCTAATGTGACAGTAAGTAGAGGAGAATAAGAACATTTGTCCTTTGGCTTCGGGAATTAATAAAGTTTTATTGACAAATAAAGGTACAATTAATCAATGATGCTAGTAAAAAAATTCACTGAATGAATATTTCTTAATACGAAGACAAATATATCCTTGTATGAACAGTATAATCGTTCTTTTAATTAGTTGCACTTTATGCAATAACACGATGGATTTAATATTAATAATTCATAAAATAAACGAACAGAAAAAATTGTAAGATCGATGATGTACCAGGAAGTTAACAGGTCAATTGATAACCGACTAACGTTAGTATCTAAAGTTTTTACTTAGAATATTTATAAATTTAAGATGAACTCTTGTCTCCAGACTCGGTCTCTTACCAAGGACATACCTACCTAAGCCACACCTGTTTGAGTTTCATTTTTCATGCTTGCATTCCTTTCGTTTCTCTTTATTGCTCAAAGATGGCGCCACACGTTGTAAAAGAAAAGCTAGCAAGACATTTTACCGCATAGTTTCAAGATGGAAACACTTGAAAACTCATACGTGTTATTTTGAGAATTTCAACAAATATAAAGAGGTTCGCTGATGATTAATATGTTTTTTTTTTCAAATGCAGCAATCTGGATTAGGAAATGTAGCCTCTTGAAAAAAGAAATTCACTTCCGGTTAAGAATTGTGTGTCACATCATATTATAATAATAGTAATAATTAATTTGTTGAGCACAATGAGATGGTTTACATTTACAGGCTCTCTAACAAATACAAATATTAAATAATAATTTAAGTAGTAAACTATGCTCATCTACGCAGGGATATGCTGATGGCGATAATGATACCGAAACAACATCGATGTTTTCGCGGGAAATGCAATGACCGAGATGGCAGTACTGTATTTATGGGGGCGTCTCGATAGTCCGAAGGTTCATTGGTCCGAAAAGTGGTAACATTTTCATCGATTTTTTAATCAAGGGTTCATTGGTCCGAAGGTACTATAGTGAACATTCGGACCAATGAACCTTCGGACTATTGAACCTTCGGACTATCGCTACGGCCCCGTATTTATAGTATATAATATATTTTTAGCATATAATGTACCAGTACTATATGCAATCAAGAAGTTATAAGAGATACAGAAGACGCATTTCAAGCAAAACCCATATGCCTTTTGTCTTCATACTTACAGAAGTGGGTAATATTAAAAAATATAGGTTCAAGTTCGAAAATCAGCTTGATCAGCAGACCAAGGAGTTACAACTTTTGTAACAGGCATGTACTAGATCATAAAAAAAAAAAAAATTGATGCTGATTATAATGCTGTTATCCATTGTTATATACTTACAATTAAGAATGATTCTTAGGACTGGCATACAGTTCACATTGGAAAACCAGCTTGATTTTCTTGGATTTATGCAGTTGGTGAAATTTTTCTTTCTTGTTCTGGCAATATATAATTTCAGTGTGTGAATTTGAACTCTCAATGGCCTGAAGCCATATATGATAGTTACATGTGCAAAATTTTACTGTCTAAGTGGCCCGTTGTGCATAATTAAAATTTGGTGCTGGTTTTGCTGTTTGTCTACATGCATTGTTATAATACTGGGGTACTGTTGTATGCATGCACATGTGCATGCATTTATTAGTAACAAAAAAAATAAACAGAGTGAAGTGTCAACAGGTGTTGTTGTGGGTCAGCATAGTGCATGAAGTGTTGATTTTGCATGATCAAATACAACAAAACTGATCTAGTAATACTTAAATGACTTTAAAGATCTGTTCCTTTAGGTGACTTAATTAAATTTACAAATATTGGCAATTAATAGAATGCTTGGGCTTCATATTAATAAGTAGAGTGCAAAGCCAATTCTCTAGATTCCATAATTTATTTAAATGAAGGCATTGGAGATGGTGAAAACCTGTGAAATTAAAGAAAGTTGATGTATTTTAAGCTAGCTGTGTTGTCTTCCAAATTTGCTTCGCCATTTATGCATGTTCTTGATCCAAAATATGACCTCCACATTATTTTCAAATGAATAGTTGTCTTTATACATTAGAAAAGACACCTTTAGGTTCTAGCAAGTCTCCAAATTAAAATGTGTTGTCAGTGGTGCATATATGCTGACAAAAGAGAAAACCTAGGGGCAACACCGGGCACATCTCTGCTAGTTTTGAAGATATGAGGAGCAAGAAAATATGCAAAGCTAGTTCATGGTGAAAAAGTACCGGTAGGTCAAAGTCAATTTCAACATCATAGTATATGAATTTCTATTCAAGTTCAATAGTAACCCTGGGCATTTCTTTTAAAGTTTTGCAGATTTAAAGGCCAGAAAACATGCAAAAAGCAGTTCATGGTAAAAAGTAGGTCAAAGGTTAATTTTAAGGTCACAGTAAATTGCCAGTATATGACTTCCTATTCAAGTTCAATAGTAACTATGGGCATATCTTTGCCAGTTTTGAAAGTATAAGCATTAAAAAAGTTGCAAAGTTCAGTTTATGGTGTAAAGTAGGTCAAAGGTCAATTTCAAGGTCACAGATAAATTGCCAGTATATGACTTCCTATTCAAGTTCAATAGTAACTATGGACCTATCTCTGCCAGTTTTGGAGATAAAAGGGAACAAAATCTTGCAAAGTTCAGTTCATGGTAAAAAGTAGGTCAAAGGTCAATTTTTAGGTCACAGTAAATTGCCAGTATGTGACTTCCTATTCAACTTCAATAGTAACTATGGACATATCTCTGCCAGTTTTAGAGAGAAAAGGGAACCAAAATTTGCAAAGTTCAGTTCATGGTGTAAAGTAGGTCAGAGGTCAATTTCACGGTCACAGCTAGATTGCCAGTATATGACTTCCTATTGAAGTTCAATAGTAACTAATGGCGTATCTCTGCCAGTTTTCAAGATATAAGAGAGAGAAAATTTGCAAAGTTCAGTTCATGGTGTAAAGTAGGTCAGAGGTCAATTTCAGGATCACAGTTAGATTGCCAGTATATGACTTCCTATTCAAGTTCAACAGTAACTATGGGCATATCTTTGCCAGTTTTGGAGATATAACAAGACAGCAGTGTTCTGAAATGTTTTTTTTTTTCATTTTTAACAAATTTTAACATAAAACAAAATAAACAGTTACTGCAATTTTTACATGATCAACTAAGAAAATTGATGAGATGGGAAAAATATCAATAGAATAGTGTTAAATGTCCAATTTCCTCCATTCAGAGATTCTGAACATAGTGAATGATTGAATCTGACAAACTGCTATGATATGAGTTTATTTCCATTTTTGACACTTTATTACACAATACACGATAACAAGTTTACCATCATTTTTATGTACAGACACAGATGTGTCTGTACATATAGCCATCATCTGCGTCTGTCGTCGCCGTCGTCGCCGTCGTCGCCGTCGTGCACTTTTACCGATAACACGATAAGTGGAACACCGTTTTTGCTTTTGGCTTGAAACTTACAGAACTGGTGAATATTCCTAATACGCAGGTCAAGTTTGAAAATCAGCATGATCGGGCCATTTTTAGGGAAGTTATGCTGTTTTTTCACTTTTTTCAGCATATATGCAGCACCGATAACACGATAAGTGGAAAACCATTTTACTTTTTGGCTTGAAACTTACAAAACTGATGAATATTCATAATACGCAGGTCAAGTTCGAAAATCAGCATGATCGGGTCATTTTTAGGGAAGTTACGCTGTTTTTCCACTTTTCTAAGCATATATGCAACACCGATAACATGATAAGTGAAATAACATTTTACCTTTTGGCTTGAAACTAACAGAACTGATGGATATTAATAATACGCAGGTCAAGTTCGAAAATCAGCATGATCGGGCCTTTATTTTAGAAGTTATGCTGTTTTTTCACATTTCCTCAGATTCAATTATTAGGCATGTTAACAGTCTTGTTATTTAACTAATAAGATACATAAAAGTGTTTGTTTGATATTTCCTGCATCTTTACAACATTGTTAATTGATTGTGTAAAAATGATGGTAAACTTGTTATCGTGTATTGTGTAATAAAGTGTCAAAAATGGTAATAAACTCATCATTGCAGTTTGTCAGATTCAATCATCCACTATGTTCAGAATCTCAGAATGGAGGAAATTGGACATT